AAGTCTAGCAACTCAATCCTGCATCACAGCTAAGAACATTTTTTTACAGGAGATGCTCTACCCTAGTAATTTGGCTTGGAAGAACTACAGATGTGTCTGAATAGTCTATGCAGAGGTATATTTGTAGATCTGGAGTGGACAATGCTGCCACAGTTCCCAGCAAAGGAAGACCAAAACTAATAAGCGTACATTTCCCATCACCTGACATATTAACTTAAGATGGCCAGCAGCTGGAGATGTTACTAACAGATTCAGCAGTTTCTAGATGAGATTCTCTGGGCTATAGAATACAGGAGCTAGGGCCTAGTGAGCATGACAGTCTCCTCTGTTCTTCAAACCACACAAAAAATAGGATGTATGGAAATGAATGGTTTCTTTCCAAATACGGTCAGCTGCTCAGTGTAGCCATAAGATGTCAGTAGAGACCACTGTTTCTGTGCAAACCATTATAAAATGGAAATCGTCTCTCAAGTCAAAGCATTCAAATTATATTTACTAGCAATACAAACTAGTGGGATGTGACCCAGCAGTATATATTGCCACTGCTAATACACATCCAAAGATTGAATGTGACAGTGATATGGCTGCTGAAATGACTGGCAAATAGGGAGGGAAGAGTTTGAAGGCCTAGTTAGGGTTAAAGCTGATGTGTAAAACATAGCAGAAAGCTATCACAGTAAAACAGCGCTATGTTTTAGTAAAAGTAAAAAGATCCATTTTTTTGTAACCTAACTTCAGTGCAATCCAGTAGTTAAAGACCTGTAACCTAAGCCAGGGATGACTAAAACACTGGGGGTCAAACCTGGCCTTCAAGGTAGTTTTGCCTGGCCTCCAAGAATATCTGACCAATTTCCTGTGAGCTTGCAATTGCTGGGTTAATGACTGTGCCCACTTAGTAAAAAACCTGGGAGTACTGAGGCACAGCGGAGTCTCTCTTGAGCATGTTTACCCCAATTCTAGGGACAGTTTGAATCTCTAGCACAAAGCCAGAGCATTCATTCCAACCTTTTTGGTCCTGAGCTGGGGCAATTTGGCCTGTTAATATGAAAATGACAGTCAGGAGGCCAAGGGACATGCGATTTTTACTGATATATCTTGGCTAACTGTGAACTGCTTCGCTGCAAGGAATTTACAAAATAAACCAGAGAAAAGGATATCTGTATTTATGAAGTAGGCTCAGATTTCTTCAGATTTAATTTTTCAGTTTTAAATAGTTGAGACCACTGGATTTCATTTGCAAAACAATGCAAAACAAGTGATAAAATTAGAGGCCGAGATTACTTGAGATCCCAAGGTGTCAAGCTTGGGAAAACCTAAGTCTTTTGGATCTGTCTCATGGGCTAGTTCCAGCTTTCCTTAACAGCTTCAGTATGCAGGCACTCCATGCCTTGCTGTGGTCACCTTAGTGGAGAGGTTCTGGGCAGATTCTCACTCGCCCTTGCTGCTCACTGATCAGGCATGGACAGACCATGTCCTGTTTGATCTCCAGCTTGCCATCCCTTTAAATTTGGAAGGAGGAAATTATGAATCACGTGTGTCTGCATAGTCAGTCAGGTCTATTTGCTTTGGATCAATGATCAACAAATGCATGGAGCTTCTTTAACTGAAGCTGTGTCTGAACCAATACTGTCCCCTTGGTCATCAGAGGCAGGTATACAGAGACATCCAAGCTGCTCTGCAGGAGCCAGTTCAGGAACAGCACAGACCCAGACTGAATCCTTGCGATTTCATGTCTACATTATATTCACCAGCATCTCCTCTAAATGTCTTGTGTATCTGCAGTTTTTTCACCATCAAGGATTCCTTTGACCTCCTCTATCCTTCCTTGCCATCCTTTGAGGAAGCCTTTAAATTAGTGACTAGCATTGGCCAGTAGTTCTGTGCACTCTACCCGCTCAAACAGTACTGCCCTGTTTTTCTTCACTTTAAATGCAGCCAATTACCTATGAGTTTGCAATTCACCAGAAAGTAATGGGAACAGTCAGCTTCCTCATCTCAGTAACACATTTTTTGGAAAATACAGCAAAGAACTGGGTATTAAATAAACGTTAGTTTCAGTAAGAGGAAGACGCTGATAAGGTCACTCATATCAAATTACATAAAGTCCTTTCCAGGATGTTTTCCTTTTCTAGCATAATTTTTCAAAATGTTCAATGCTTATTTGACTATTGCAAACCATCTTTTTTTCTTTGCATTCAGAAGGAATTTTAGAGAAATTCAGGGGTTATGCAAATATTCAGGAGCAGAAGATACTCTTTATTACCATTGTGTCAGATATTGCAGGAAGCCAGAATGAGAAATTTAGGAAAGCCATGGAAATGAGAATTGCTCTAATTCAATAACAGATTAATTGGTTTTCTAATTAGATTTGATCACTTGAGTATTTTATATTGCAGCTGCATAAGTATCTTACAAATACCTACCACATGTGACACAGGCACTTCAAAAGCATCATATAAACTGTAGAATAGATCTGCAGAAAAAGTTAAAGAAAAATATCTATCTTAGTTCTTCCATGTGTTGGTAAATAATTCCCAGCTCTGAGATGTCATTTTATTTAATTTTACAACATTCCAAACCACTGTAAAATAACATCTGTAATAAATATTCAAAAAATAACTCAGATGATATTTTACTCTTACAGCTTACAGTAATGTCTGAGTAACATCATACAAATTGTACTATAAATCGCTTCACCAGCACCAAAACATAGAAATATTACATTTTACATAATTCACTTAAGCACATGGAATTTTGGCTACAAAGATTTTTTTCCCTACTCTTCTCATGGAGTTGATTTGGTATGCTTAACTTGTAAAATGACTTAATTACACAGTCCCATCATAAGGCAACATGGAAAATATGTGAAAACCAATGTGGGAGCAAGTGAGAATTACGAAATTGTACTGGTTATTCACAGAATTTCTCCTGCTCAGTCTATTCAGGATTTCTAGCCTTATTTCATTCTGATAACAAGCAATGTCTGCCAACTAAGGTCTTAGACTGGGATTCAGAAACTCTGGTTTCATATGACCTTGGGTAGTTTTTCTGCCTCCGTTCTCCATTCACAGCACGGTAGTAATAATGTTTCCTTCTATCTCCAAAGACTGTAAGCTGTCAGAACCTCTCTGCCACTCTTTTTTGTAAAGTAATTGGTAGCGTGGGACTAAGATTAGAGCTGAACTCAGTAAATGTGCAATCTTTAATACAAGACACGATGATAAAATTGTTCTGATATTTAACAGAGGTAGGTAAACGATGCCCTTTGCACTACTGGAGGAAGTACAAGGGACTTGTCCAATGACACAGTGTGCCTTGCTGAGACAGCTCCTGAGTCACACACAGTCGTCAACTATAATATGCTGAAGTCCTCTAGAAATACATGATCTAACAGAAATGTAGTGGAGCTGTTAACACATTCAAGTCTTCATTCAAAGCCACAGCAGTCATGCGAAGATTTCTTCATTAACTTCAGTGGGCACTAAAGTAAATTTTCTCTTAGAAACTATTACCCAGAGGAAAAACTAATAAAGAAAAACTAGATTGCTTGGCACCTAAGATGAAATTCAGATATTCTGTGTGTTCAGTTTTGCTCAGCAGTTTTCAGCACAAGTTAAACATATTCTAGCATGAAGCATGTGCACAAATTTGATTAAAAGGAAGCATCATCAAGGTTGCTAAGTAAAAACTGGGAAATGCATCAGATACATCTTCTGCACTACAGAATTAAATTAGGGCTAGTAATAAGCTGAAAGAGATAAGTATGCAGCCTGAGCATCTGATAGATTGGGGCTGGCTACAGTAGCTAGTTCAAACATTTGGAAAAGCAGCTGTATCTTTCTCTTGCAGTACATTCACCATTGCACTGCACCTGAGAACTTCACCATCAGAGTCGCTACCATCTGCTGGATAACTATTATCAAGTCATTTGCAGTATCTAGGCCTTATATCCTTTCATTTTATCACAGCATCAAAGCTCATTTTTAGAAAATTACTAATTTCTTTGTTTTCACCCTGTAAGTAATGATTTTAGTTTCCTAAAACATGATGCTGTGTCTCTCCTTAAAGATTACAGATAGCTGACATGGATTAGGCTTCTGGGGTTCTCTGGTTTCTCAAATCATCCCATTTTTGTCTGTTGTCACAAAGAAATAGTGTGATTGTGGTACAGGAGAGAGGACAGCCTCTTTAGGGACACATGAGGGAAAAGAAAGATCCTATAAATACACAAGGTGTACACCAGAGTAAAGATTAATGTTCACCTCACTAGATGTCCTAGCCATGCCCTAGTGCTGAGGATTCTCACTGGAGTTCTCAAAATATTCTGAATTTCTTCCTATTCTGGATCTTTATTTTCGATTTTACTTTGCGCAACAAAACCATGTTAAGTATGCAATATTAACTGAGGATATTTACGCCTCACACTCTCTCCCTGGGTTCAGGTGTATAGACATCTTATATCCCTGCGTGCCCCCAAAGGCAGCAGGAAGATCACACTACCTACCACAAAGTAGCCACCTCAGTGCAGCTCTGCTGGTAGAGGCTGCCAACATGACTGGAATCCTAGGCATACTTATTAGGAGTCTCAGAGGAGAAACCAAATGTTAAGTATACCTTGAATACTGGCCTGCAAGGTACTCTGAGGCATTTTGCTGGGACAGCAGAAGGAAGAAAAGCAAGCAAGAAATCTGCCTTGTTCTAAGCAATGAATGGAGATGTCTTACGAGCTGCCAGTGGAAATTATTTTGGAAACACTAGCACTGCAATGTACTTTCTTCTAAAGTCACAAGGGTTTCCTTATTGACAACACTTGAAATGTTTTACTGATTTATCAGTATCTTTATGTTTTATAGATAACTGTGAGGAAAAGAGTTTTTGGCAGCTGACAAGATACTCAGTCACAGCCTTGGCCACTTTTATTACCCCTAGTGACAAGATGGACCAAGCAATCCAGATTTCTAGTCTCTGCAGGGTTCTGTTGTTGCAATGATACCTGTTGTTCATAATGCCTGTTCACGTTGCCGTTTCAGACCCACAACTCTTGCTGCCAGGAGAAACACAGCCCCAGTGAGCACTTCTGCAACAAAGGAGATCCAGACTAGTGCCAGCGACCAGCCAAACCTGATGTCGATTTCTACCAGGAGATCCTTACTCCTCAGGAGGCAGACAGCTTCTTCGAAGGCAGCCGCTGAATATGCAATATAGACACTGATCCCAGTAAGCGTAACAAGAGCTGAGAAAGAAAAACATATTCAGCTAGTTAGCATCCACTGCAGAAATTAAAAATAATTAATCGAATATGTCTTAGGGCTTCTTTGCCACTCTTCCCTATCTAGCCAGGCCAGATTACCAGTTAGCCTCTGGTTACCTTTGAAATCTAACTGAGGCTGTTTTCTGGGGAAGGGTGAGAGGGATGTAAAGGGAGGGTTATTTCTGTTCATTGAGTTTAATGTGTTCTCACTGTTAAGTACTGAATCAAAATGTGTAAAAACAAGCCTCTCACAATAAAAATCTAGTCACAGCTTTTACAGATATCTAACATATGTGCATCCCTGTTTTCAATACTGTATTATAATGCATCCTGATTTCTCATTGCTGTGCACCACGTAGAGTTGTACACCTCTATGCAAGAAAGCCCACAGAGACAGAGATTCTTGCGTTTCAGGTCAGTGATGTGAATTTAGGCTGTTTCCTAATTTTGAGTATCATAAGTTTTGAGTGTTCAACGTAAATGTGTTGGTCTTTACTGTCACTTCCAATCAAGTGTTACGGAGTCATGACTGTTCATCACTTCTATATAATTGAGCCAAAGACATCCTTGGAGCAGACTAAAAATAAATTAATAAAGGCACTCAAACAAGAAGCCAGATGTTTTCGAAATGAAAGGACTATACAGAAGCTAGCAAACTTAGGGAATGGCACATCTAGCACAAGTACATGCGACATCCTGGGCCTGGCATCTATGTCACTCAAAGGACATACAATAACTAAAGTCATAACTTTACTGGATCAGTGGCAGGAAAGGTACACTAGAAAAGCCCTGGATTAAAGGACTGTAGCCCAGGGAAAGTAGATACTGGAATGCTTGTAGGACAAGATAGTGTCTTATCTGATTCTGAGGGAGAAAAAGTTTGGCCTGGATTCCTGTTAAATCACAGTGTAAGTCTAGATGAGCGTATTGGGTTTGCGTGGCAAGGTTTTGTTAGCGGGAAGGCTACAGGGGTGGCTTCTGTGAGAAGCTGCTAGAACGGAAAGACCAAGTGCCGCGCGCCCCAAAGATGCCCCCGCCGCTGGCCAAGGCAGAGCCAATCAGCAACAGTGGTAGTTCCTCTGTGATAATATATTTAAGGAGGGAAAAAAAACATCTCGGGAAACTTTTGCAGCCAGAGAGAGGAGTGAGAAGAAGTAAGAAACTCTGCAGACACCAAGGTCAGTGAAGAAGGAGGGGCAGGAGGTGCTCCAGGCACCGGAGCAGAGATCCCCCTGCAGCCCGTGGTGAAGACCATGGTGAAGCAGGATGTCCCCCTGCAGCCCATGGAGGGAGGATGAGGGGGTGTAGAGATTCCACCTGCAGCCCATGGAGGACCCCACGCAGGAGCAGGTGGAGGCACCTGAAGGAGGCTGTGGCCCTGTGGGAAGCCCGCGCTGGAGCAAGCTGATGGCAGGACCCGGGGAGCGCGGCGCTTTTTCAGTTTTGCTGGCAGGACTTGTGACCCCGTGGGGGACCCACGCTGGAGCAGTCTGTTCCTGAAGGTCTGCACCCTGTGGGAGGGACCCATGTTGGAGCAGTTCATGGAGGACTGTCTCCCGTGAGAGGGACTCCATGTTGGAGCAGGGGAACGATTAGAGGAGTCCTCCCCCCAAGGAGGAAGGAGCAGCAGAAACAATATGTGATCAACTGACTGCAACCCCCATTCCACGTCCCCCTGTGCTGCTGAGGGGGGAGGAGGTAGAAACCGGGAGTGAATTTGAGCCCAGGAAGATGGGAGGGGTGGAGGGAGGTGTTTTAAGATTTGATTTTATTTCTCATTCCTCTACTCTGTTTTGCTTGGTCATAAATTAGATGAATTTCTCTCTAAGTTCAGTCTGTTTTGCCCGTGATGATAGATGGTGAGTGATCTCTCCCTGTTCTTATCTCAACCCACAAGCCTTTCGTTATACCTTTTCTCCCCTGTCCAGTGAAGGAAGGGCAGTGATAGAGCGGCTCTGGTGGGCACCTGGCCTCCAGCCAGGGTCCACCCACCACAATGAGTCTGCATTTCTGCCAGAAAGACAAGTTTGAGTAGAGGCAAACCAAGACAGAAGAGTACTGGGTTATCCGGCAGTCAAAATTCATACTCATATTACTGATTTTAACCATGCTATGATGCCTGTACCTTATTCTAGTCCTCTGCAAGGGGGGAAAATAATCACTTTATATGTTTTGTCAGCAGAAATGGAAATGACTTTTGTTGACATTTTCAACAAGGTACGCTGAGTACTGTGATCCCTCTTAAATGTGGCCACATTTCAAAAAAATGGGGAAGCATATAGGATATCCTGGGATGTGGAACATACCAGTTCTGGTATTTTCCAAAACCCTCAAGTTTCTGGAATTGCATCATAAAATATTTCTTTCTGCTGAGACAGAACTATCTAATCAATACCAAACTTCATGAACTGGAACATCCTATAAAACTGTGCATGCCCATTACATGCCTCAAGCCTCAGTGCAGCTGAAACAACTGAATAATACTGCCTGAGCAGGACAACAGTCTGGTCTCACACCAAAGGCCACCCTACGGTCTGTTCATGCTGTCCTGGGAAACAGCAATAGTTGCATCTTCAGAACATATTCAAGCACCCCTCTCCTAAAATTGTCTTTGTGTTTTCTTTTCCTTTTTGCAATCCCAAGTGTCTTAGAAAGGCACAGTACTCCACTCAGCAGGATAATCGTGCTTTGCACTTCACAGCTTTTCATCTTTCACTTGCTATTTGGAGTAGTTTTCAAATAGCCTAAGCCTCTTTAGTGAGTACAGCTTTCTGATGTTCTAAGGAATAGAAGTTACTTTTTATTTTTTGCAGAAGAAAAGCATAGTGGGGGATGTTGGTCTTTATAAGAGCATTTAGACTAAAAAAGTCAGTCAAGACTTTGAGACAGCAGCATTTGCTTCCAGTAATCTCTTATCATTGTCTTCTTAGAAACAGGACTGTATGATCAGGTGATGAAGGTAAATATTGAGGATCCCCTTTTCTGTTGGAAAAAATTTCTGTTTCAAATTACATTGTGAAACACTACTCAAAATGTATTTGGAGAAGAAAATGGAGATGGATTTAAACCCAGTTTTCCTACTTTGACAGAATGTTTTTAGTTTTAATTCATAAATGACTTTCTAAAACACAGAGGCTTTGGTTATAGTAACAATATTAAAAAGCAATATGTAAAAGAACGTTACTAGCTTCAAATTGAAATGTTACACTCCAACTAAAATAACTCTTTGGGGTTTTCTCTTGTGACCCACAGTTTGGGGACACCATCTAGTTCAAAACTAACAGTGAAGCTAAC